CAAACTGCACTCCATTTCTACAAAGGAATTGTAGTGTCACAAACACTATATTCTGCCACAATGAAATAAATCAGAAATGAAGGCTGGGCTAACTAAAGAGGAAATTGCTCCCATTTTACCACAAATGTATCAGCCCTGCAAGAATATGAAAAGATTGCCATGAGTATCTATGCAGTTTAATGGAGTTTGGATATGCTGTTATGGGTTGGCATTTTTATTCTCTCTCATGTTTGGCTAGGTTTTTTGGTTTTGGGTTGGGCTTTTTTTTTTAATCAAATACTAAAATCCCTTAATGGGCTTCTTAGCATAGTCTGGGGAAAAATATTGTTGGACTTATGTTGGACTTAATAAGACATTTTTTCAGGCTATGCTTTTTTCTATCTGCCTGGTAAAACTTTCACTAAAGACCTTTATAATATGACAATTTGTTTTTCAGCAGCCATCTCAGACCAAACTCTGACTTTGCTGAAACACTTTGTGTGAATAATTTCCCATTAAGTATGGGAACTGTCTTCTTGTTCAACTCCCTGTTCCCTCCTTTAAGTTGGGTGTCAGACACTTTCTTCAAGTCTCTCCTTGAAGCTGCCTTCTCACATCAGCATTTCAAAGCTGACCTCAGTGGCTTTTCTTCCTTCTGGCTAGTTTGCATGTGACTTAACAAAATGTGGGAAATGACTAGAAAGTTACTTAGTGTTTATATTGGCTTAAATTGGTGAACAATTTGGTCTGAAAGTAAGTTATTTAGTCTACCCACAGTATAACAAACCAATATGACGATCTCATTGAAGTTTTGCAATGTATGGTTTTCACCTTAGATGAATTTCAAATTGTGACATACTACTGGAGCTGCTGAAAATCACCCATATAAAGAGTAATCACACAATACTTGCCATTTGCAAAGGGGCAAAGTTGTATCCTCCTTGCATCTGGAATTGCCAGCCAACCCTACAACCCAAAAAGTGGTCATTAGCTAGAGATTCTCAGAAACACCAGTTTTTAACATTTCAGACAGAATGTGATAGAAAACCTTTCTGCCCAAGATAAAGATGCTATGTTTCTTAGAAAGCTTTGGAAGTAGTTTTTTTAAAGGATGTTTTACACTAGATATCTATTTTATTATTCATCATTAGGGGGATTGGAGCTGATGAACTAAGGTGATCCCTTCTAGCACTATATTCCTACTCTTTCCGAGTCATATATTTAGCTCAATTTCATTTAGAAAGTCTTCCAGTTTGATTTTCATTGTTTCTTAGTGTCATTACTTTCTAGGCATATCAAAAGACATTCAAGAATCATAATATCGGATCTCCTGGCCTTTGTTATCTTTTTTCCTCCACCATTATTTCTAAGTAAGGACTCGCATCTTACAGAAAGAATTCTTTTTATTTGAGCAAGTGCATGAATCTGCACTTCATCCTCTTTTAGTTATTTCATGTATGAAGATCTCTAGTCTCTTCCAATTATCCTGATCCTCTTCCATTTTGATTACACCTCTCAACTGTTTTATCAGCAAATCTTATTAACATGTTCCCACCTTTTGTGTCCATGTCACTGATTAAAACATTTATATAAGAACTGCTCTAAGTGTGTTCCTTAAATAACCTTCCTACTAGCACAGCCCCATTCAACAGTAGTTGAATTAGCCCTTCAGCTAGGTATTATCTACCATACAAATCTTGTTCTCACCCCCAGCTTCCTCAATTCCTCGTTTAGTTGCTCATGCAATACTATATCAAATGCTATGCTGAAATTCAGTCAGATTAAATTTTCTGTCTTTTCATTGCTTATAAAAATATCAGTCAAAATAATCTTACACAATATTTTCCATAAATTAATGTAAATTGTTTCCCATTTTCTTCTTATCTCCATGTTTTAATTAGTGTTTCCTAAAAAATCTTTTCTACATTTACATAATCATAAGGTCAGACAAGCCTTAGTCAAAAACTTAGGTCTAGACCCTTTTTCTACAGATTTTTCCTCCTTTCTTAGCACAAATCCCAGATAAAATTTCTTTAATCAGGAACACAAATTCCAGACTGTATTACCTCAATGCAAAGACAAGGGAGTAGCTGAGAATATTTCAGAGAAACTGATTTTAAAGATTCCTTCCCTTTTATCTGAAATGAAAAATATGGTCATGAATCCAGGACAGTAAATGACTTTTAATAAAGCTAAATAAAGACATAGAAGGGCATTTCCTATAACTATGACCTCAATGAGCATTTCCACCTACAAGTCACCTCCCACCAGTTCAACAAACTGCTTTGAGCTTTAACTCACCACAGCAAATGCCCCTACATCTTCACAGGTAAACCATTTGTGGCACAGGCGAACGTAATAATCTTGATCTCGAAGAAAGTTGGATACATTCACTGATATAACTTTCCTTGCCCTGTCTACATTATAATCAAACTTTCCAGCTGAAAAAGAAAATTTAAGCATGAAATTATCACATCTGTTTCTTTATTATTTTGTTATTTCTGATTTTGTTATTTCTTTATAAAAGGTAGAGAATATATTTCATAACTTGATGGACATGAAATTCAACATCTATAGATCCTTACCTAGGATGTTTGAATTAATTCTTTTTATAACCTGATATTCATAAAGGTATTCTTATTTTATAAGATATAAAAATTTTCATGAGAATAAATTTCAATATTATTCAGTTTTAAATTAGCACTGACAATACTGAGAGGCCAGGATACCTACCAATTGTACCTCAACCTGAGTACTTGAAATGTTATGTAGTTCAGGTACAAATACTTGAAATATACACACTAATACTACTACAAAAGCTGATTATCCCCAGGTTCCAATTTCATTACATAGAGAATATGTGCAACTGTTAGATAAGTACAATATGTGGGGGGATGTTTTAATTCTTTTATATTCATGGGTATGCCAAAATCAGGATAGCAGTTTGGCAAGTTAATTTCAGTCTATTTATGAGGTCTGTCTATAGACAAAACATAAAACCAGCAATCCAAAGTGCATGAAAAGGACACAAACCTATTTCCAAAAGTATAAGTATTAAATAGGTTGTTAATATCTTTACCTGCTATCTAGCATTTCCAGGTCAATATAAAGAAATACATTTTCCAGGGCATTACCGATCAACTACATGGTAATTTTAAGTAGTGGTAGTTGTAAATCACCGTTTTTTTCCCTGCTTATCCAGCTATGAAAACTTATCGTTGTATAGGTCACCAGAAATATCTCACAGCTTTAAGTTGTGTAGAAGATCAACTCACCTGAACAGGCTGAAATATATTTTCCCACATCACTGTTTCTGCAATCTGCAAAACAGAAGCCAGAGTTTTCTTCAGTGTTGTTTTATTTATATAACTGTGTAAATAAACTGCCAAATTATCCAGTAGCTTCCCAACAGGAAACCTATCTCTTATACCCCTTTTTAAAGGCAGATTTACACCCACTTCTAGGTAAACAGCAAAAAACAAAAGCACCCTTGCCACACACAGAGATTATATCACAATTTGCCTTAAGGAGCTATCTCACCAGTGTGGAGTTTCTACTGGAAAACCTCATCAGCAGTTTAAGGTGGCAATCTAGGATATAACACTGCACTTCTTTACCTAGCACCTAACAATAATTTAAGTAATAATAATAATAATTTCACTTATTCTTTCCCTGAAAGCTACTCCTGTTGTTTACCAGGCTTATTCCTCTGTTATAAACAATTGTGTGTTTCTGCTATTCTGACTCTACTCTAGGCTTACAAAGAAACACCCTATTTCGCTCCCAGGGAGCTTACAAGTGTTAGAGGCCAGGTGACACTTGCAGAACTAATATCTAATATTTGTATCTCCAAAACTTACATCTTGATTTAAGAACACTAAATCAGCTCATAATGTGCTGCCTACTGTTTTCATCTTTCCTTGCTTAACTCAGTATTAGAGCAGCACTTTGCTCTCCTTTCTCCACACAGTTCTTTTCCCCAGAGAAATACTTCTTATTTTCATTTGTTTGCTCACCCTTGTAAAGTGTCTTAAAACTGGGCTTTACAAAACCTTATTTTTCCCCCTCTTTATTCACAAAGTACATACCTACTTCAATAGTGAATCGGGATTTATCAGGAAAATGAAAGACTTTTTAAATACAAAAAGTTTTACTTGTATGAAAGCGTGAAACAGCCACAACCTGTCTGATACTGTGTGCAAGGGATGATGCTCTACCACGGGGCAAGGGCAAGAGCCGCCCACCCACAGGCTCTCGAGATGGCAAGGCAGGACAAGCCCAGGCACCAGACCAAACAAGGGGTCTCATTTCATTTTTTGCACCACCAGAAAACAGGTGATGGAACAGCCAGCTAATGAAAGGAAAAATAAGTTTCTTCACACTTTCTTATTAAGCTTTCCTCAATCTCTGAAACCACCTGTGGCCTAAAAGAAGCAGAGGCTCCATCTTATGCACAGAGAGCACACAGGACTGAACCTGCAGGCAGAAAAAGGGCACATGCCAACCACAAGAAGGCCAATTAGGAAAAATGCATAGCATAGTTCAGTTTTCTATGTACTTTTAGATATAAGCTCTGGTCTCTGTTTTTTATAGCAATTCAGACATTTATATGCACAAAATAAATCCTTGAAATGTAGAATATCCTGGCATACATGATCTACCATCAGTTAGACCAGTGTATCCCAGAACGTGATTTGGCTTTGCATTTGGGTTTTTTTGGTTTGGTTTGGTTTTTTTCTTTGAAAAGATGTTTCTTGAAAAACATCTGGTTTAAGATGTTTTCCTACCTTCAACATAGTATTCCTGACTCAGCTTGACTTCACAGTAATTTGGTACTGTTTTCATGGTCACATAGATGTGTTGTGCTACATTGACTTCAATGCAATTGAATTGTACCTGTACCTGTTTAAAACATTTATAAAATCAAGTTTGTGCGTGACTTCCAGAATACATGAAAACCACTGGTTATCAGAGTTAAGCAAGCAACATTCTTTGTTCAGATTTATTTATATTTACAAGGAGCATTAAGCAGTCTCAGATATTGTAGCATTAAGAATGTAAAAGCAGGTATCACTTAATGAAAGGATTTCAAAAAGTGTCATTACTTCTAATCCAGGATGTTGCTGTCTTCTTCACTTCAAGAAATCCAAATATCTACAAGTTATCAAATAATCCTAAAGGCACAGAAATACAGGTACCCAATGCTTATTGAACTTCAAAAGCAAAAAGGTCTTTCATATTACCAAAAGTCCCAGTTTGCAGGCATTTTACAAGCACAAACACTTGCAGAATAGGAAAAAAATGTCTGTTTAAACATTTAATGGCAACTTCACCAAATTTGTTCATTCCAGTAACAGTTTGTGAGAGAGAAAGTAATTTAGGAGGCAAAAGTTGAGGTCCAGTTATAGCAGTTCATTCCTTCACTGATAGCAGTAACTATTAAATTCCATATAGGTTTTCATGTTGGATATATTCCCACTTGGTACAAGGCATTTGGAGGGTAAAAAAAGGTCTTATGTCACCATTCTAGTCACTGAATTGAAACTAAGAAAATTTCATTAAATACATTTGCTGAGTCTTGCCTATAAACTTACCTTACTCTAAAAGCTACCAGTTGTCCATTGCTGGCCCTGCATTGCCTATAGGGACGTTTGACCATCAAGTGATACGGAGTGTAAACTGCAGTTGCAGTTTGGGAGAAGTTTGTTTCACATGCGCAATGAATATAACATTTACAAAGCACATGAAGTAATGCATTTTGTATGGGATTAATAACAGTTATCCATCAGTAATTGAAAGCAAAAATTCATGCCTTTTAAACAGTTGGTCAAGGATGGGTTGGGTTTTTTTTTCCCCAGTTGCAAATTTTAATAACAAATACTTCTGTGTTTAGTTTAGTAAAAAAATGTACTCTGCTGTTGCAATTATTACCATGAGTTTAGGACAGATGTGCACAAGTGCTTAGGCACTTTGCTGTCTTCTAGATGTGTAAGTTCCATTGATGTGGTTGGACTTAAATAAATCATATGTATGCACTTAAAATCCCTGTGGCATTGTGCTTCCTAGCAATTGGAGTTACAAAAGCTTCCCCACACTGGTGGGCACAAAAAGAAAACTAGCAAGATTGATATGAAAATTAGGCTTTGCAGAGACAGCTTCTCTTGCAAAAAGGTAAGTGGAAGAAGTACAAAATGGTGGAGAATTGAATTTATAGGTTATAAAAGGACATTTTGTTATGCTGAAGCATACATTTCATTGCAGTTTTCCACAAAGTCAGTAACAGACGAAAATGAGAGATACAAAATATATTTCATTTCCAAAGGCTCATAAACATTTAAATGAAAAACAACCCAAAAAAGGAGTCTACCTTCTTTCCATTAGGCATCTTGCTTTTTTTCCTAGCAAATCTCACATTTGTGCACTGAGATTGCTGTGTGTCCAGTGAAAGAGAACATATTTCCAGCCCACGGATATTTTCTGAAATGAGTTAGGAATAGATTTCAAAAATCTAGTTTGAGCATCTTTAAGAAAAGAAAAAAAAAATTAAAATATACCATATTGTAAGCTATCATTCTAAGTGAAAGGCACATGTATTTTTTCTCTGTTAAAAAAGGGGCATTATATGTAACACACACATGGGGGTAGGAGCAAGGATTTAATACAGATTGCTGTAAATTAAAGCTTTAATTATGCAAAGTCCTATGCAAATTTAAAAAATAAGCCTATTAACTCTGAGTGAAGCACACCAGGAAATATCTAAATGGTAACACACTAAGCACATGAATGGCAGGGTGTTAGTAAAAATAGACTGTGCCCAAAAAGTTTGAGTGCTTTCATTTTATTTTAGAGCAGAATTGTAACTTCAGATGCATAAACCGTTTCTCCTTCTGTTGAGGCAGTCGCTCATTTCTGAGTCACCAGGGCAGACAGGATTAGTGTGTGTGTGCGCGCGCATGCACACATGTCAGAACAGGAAAGAAAAGGGCAGCAGTATGCTTGGGATACTGGTAGACAAGTGTATTATGTTGGAAGTAAAAATTCAGTGGTCTTGAACTCATTATCTCAGGTCTCATTCCCTTGAGAAGGGCCACAGCTTTATCCTGGTTTGTAGTAAAATGGTTTCACAAAAACTATCCTTCTAATGTAATTACATGAAAACAGCTTGGACACAAATATTGCAGTATGGAACAAAATTTGGCTGAACAGCTATAAACAAAAAGTAAACAAAAATGATTCAGTAGCAAATCTGCTTCCTACCATCCAGACTCAAAGTTCCTTTAACGTTTAAATGAAGAGAGCATGGGCTTCCTTGGACACATTTCATCACTGTTGAGATCTTCATGCTTTTCAGTGCCATAGAAGATAAAGATGCAGGAGCATCATGGCAGAAGTTGTTAAAAATGCCACCTGCAAATGCAAATACAAAGAGAAATCTCATTGTGCACAGGATATCTTGGGGAGAGAAAGCACCAAAGGTGAAGCTCCAGCTCTACTGAAATCAGCGGGAAAGTCACCACTGACTTCAGCAAAGCCAGTACTTTACCTAAGACTTTCACATGGCCAACATAGCTAGTTGGGTTCACTAGCAATGCAGGGGGGTTGGAAAGAACTACATTACAGATGGGGTTTGATAATAAATTTCCTGGTTTAGGGAAGTGTTAACCCACAAGAGGAAGGAGTCACACTTCTAACAGTTAAGGCTAGCAGAGCACACCTAGACTAATAGTGTTTTTAAATAATCAGATCTGCCAGATCGTGGCTAGACTAATAGTTTATTTAAACTTTTTTTCAAAACCATTACCTGTATATTGTGAAAACTCTCATAGGTAATATTTTAATTTTAGGATTGGCGGATGGTCTCAACTGCTGTTAAAATATCTCTTTCACACAAGAGGGCACCATTGCATTCCTAGTCATGGAAAAATCCCTCACACCTACAGGATTTCCTTCTGCTTTAGATGGAATAGCAAGAGCAGAATAAATATTATCCAGGCCTTCTTCAAGGTGTAAACAGTAGGCACAGAACACAGCTACAATGTCTCATCTTATTTTCCTATGGAAATTCAGTCATCCCAAAGCCTTAGGATACTGGTTTGCACAGACGCCTTCTGTAGGCTAATGTGAAAGAAAAAAACAGTCTTAAGGCCCCAAATCTCATGTTAGCCACATTTCATCTCTTTCTACTTATCAGACTTCCCTGCACAGAAATCAGTTATTTATTTATGAATTTACATTGGTACAGTGGATGTAATCGCCAATGCGTTCCTTGGGCTTCTCTACCTCACATACATTGTAGTCCCAAAAATTAAGAGCTCAAGAAACCGTCAGAACAAATAGCCAGGGAATTGGGTTTTGTCCCTTGGCTTTCTGGTATACAATGCAGCACACCTCATTTTAGCTGTAACTACATAATAACAATTTCTTTGAAATATTTCTTACTCTTCTCACTTCGGTACATAACATGAAAGTTAAAAGACACCCAAGAAAAACAAAGTATTTTACTGCACATTCTCCTCCCCCTGGGGAGAGGCTGAAAGAACAAAAAAACATTTGACTCTTATTAGTCACACTGCTTAATATACTCCTAGAAGGAGTTCAACTAGTATGGCAAAGAGCGTAGCACAAAACAGCAGTGCCACGGTACTGTGCTTGCCATAAAATACAGGATAACACTCTTAAATCAGATTAACACTCTTAAGTCAGATTGTCCGGAATGGGTGCATCCCTCCACGTCTAGCCAAGAACTGTTGTCAAGCATGGATGCCCATTGACTCACATGGAAGACAAATCCACAGTTCTCACGGAGGAAAGGTAGGATGTGGAGGAGGAAGAAGGGCAAAGCTTATCCTTACTCACCCCTCCAATGAAGGAAAGTGCTCTAAATTTAAAGACTGAAAGTGTATTAACCTGTACAGGACCTCTTTCTATATTATGAGATCCTCACTTTCACAGTGTCCAGTTGCAGCTGAAGCCCATTGTCAAGGATCAGATACTGATACATGCAGGACGTGACGATAGGCTGATATGAATGTGGTACCTTGGCTTGAATCTATCAAGCCTTAAGGTGCCCTCACACTTGGTATCAGGAGAAATAAGTCCTGTGTGATACATATGAAAAGTCAGAAAAGACAAACACTTCACACCTGAATCTCCACTCCATTGTCTTGGGTTTGTGCCATTAAGCATCTTTTGGAGGCAACAGGGTATGCTGATATGAACCAAGTGGAAAAGAATAGAAAAACAAGGACACTTTACCTCAACTGACAGTAGAGTCAACTCTCAGTTATCCAAGGTAATATTGGCACCAAGAGGAGACAATTTGTGCAAACCAAAGAAAAAAACGCAGATCATTCAAAGTATACAAATTAGGCTTTACGAGCAGTGGAGTACATTGACTTTTGAAGAATTTGTAAACATGTTTCTACAGACATGAGGCAGCTTTAAGAAGTACAGTGTGCAGCAGCCAGATGTGAACACTATATTCCGTGTTCCAGGAATGGGTGGTGTAATAATCCTGAAGGTATCTCAGGATAGAGAGCTTTTGTACAACACCCAATCAATCCACCCACAGTTAATTGGCAGGTTATTATATTGCAGAACTACCTGGTAATTATTACTAATGACGTGATAAATGATTAGTTTTAGCTCTGTCTCTTTGCTCAAAAAGGTATTTTCTCGACTGCATGGTATGACATGCAGTTGTGGATACCAAATGGTATCCAGGAGCAACTGTTTCTGCTTAATTCCTTGGTTGTTGATGTAAGTTTCTTGATCCAAGCCTATAATATATATGCCCGTTCCCATGTCTGTGTAGAAATGATTTAAGGGAACAGCAATGTATATATATGTACATTGTCAAAGCTGTCAGTTCTTTACAAAGTATTCTGTTTGGGTGAATTTGACCATATTATTTGACCCTACTAATTTTTAGAAGAGGCTGTCATGACTTAATTGAATTCAGTCCTTATTAATTACTGCCTGAGGTATGGTATTGTCAGATGCCACAGGCTTGGAACTATCTCAGGAGAATCCTAAGTCATACCTAAGTGCATTACTGACATGGGATCAGTATCAGGCAGATGCACAAACACAGCTTTAGGGACTACTGTCTGTCCATAAGCAGGGACACTGGCCTGCTTGATCACAGTTTCTACCTTCAAACTGAGAATAAATAAGTAATACACTGGATAAAATGAAATGGATTTTTTTCCATTAATTTTATGATGCATTTTGAGAATTGCAAAAGATGCTGCAAAACTCATTAATAATAATTTAAGTGGATCATATAATTCAGTTTTGGATCACAGTAAATATGATACAAGGAAGAGCTGACAGAAAATAATTTTCATTCCATAAATCATCACAGTATGAGACTCATTTCTGACTAATTCTTCGGTAAACTCTTACCTTATCATCTTTTAATCCCCCCTTTGGATAGTTTCCTCTGGAACACACACCTCTTTTCTTTTCTCATGAGTAGTTTGATCTACACCCCAGAAGACATAAAGATACATCTTGCTACACAAACCATCTGCTGAGTAAATCTTGCCTAAATTTTATGTTTATGTAATTAGCCCTACATGAGAGAGGAATTGTTGCTGTAAGAAAAGATTCCTTAATTATGGACACATATAAGCCCAGGCATAGAGAAGCCAAGGCTTATTATTCAGCATGTAGACACTTTCCTTGTACTTTTGCCATCAGCTCAACCACAGCAGATTATTTTTTTATCTGATGATGCAGCAATCAACCCAGAACTGTCACGACAGCAAAACACACCTTATGTACACTTGGATAACAGAAGCCAGAGCTGAGCAATGAATACGCAATAGAAATGATTAGATGGATAATTTGAAGCCTCAGGCAAGAAGATGAAATTGTAGAACAGAAAAAAAAAAAAAAAAAGCAGAGAAAACCCATTAATAACAGGTCCGGACCAACACCCAATAGAAAATCCTAACTGTTTTTCTGTCTGATATTTCTTCCTGACAAGAATTGTAAGAATCTGAACTACTTAGGATACTGACAGTGCTAGAAGTGTGATCATATCTAAAGCACACTAAAATTGCTTCACTGGAGCATCATTCCATGAGTATAAATTACAGTAGCATTTCAAACCTATTTGCATATGATTTACCACAGTATCTGCTGCATCTGTGCATTAGGATGATTCAACAAAATTCATAAACAAACTAGATATGCTCTCCTAAGATAACCACATGGTGCACTTCAGTTAATAAATACTGAAATTCGCTACTTAAAAGTACTTACACCAATTATGAAATTGATTAAATTTCAGACTGACAGCTTCTCTTTCACAATAGATTTCAATGCACAGTAAATTAGGAGGGTTTCACAGCTGTATGTTCAGAAAACATTTCAAACTTTCAAGGATATTGGACAACATGGTGATATACTGTGCCAAATACATTTTCTGAGAATGTAAGGCTTTTTTAAAATATTTGATGTATTGATATCAATGTCTGGATATATTACAGTGAATTTCAAATACTAGAGTAGCCCTTATGTACTACTAATAGTCTAGAAGAGCAGGAGGGAGAAGGCAGGGTCAAAGATACTGCTGAGCTGGTAGCTGCAAATTCTAGGAAATAAAATCATCTTTTTTGTTGCAGCTAAAAGCAATGACTACTGCAAAGGTGCTCTATTATACAGTTAAGGTCTTTTAAGGTAATTTTACTTCAAATAATAAATAATAAAAAGAATTACTATAGAAAAGGAAGTATGGAAATGAGCATACACCCACTGTTGCACAAGTAAATTAGCATGAAGACTAAAAAAATGTTTTTTCATCACCCCTATAAGGCTGAGTCATCCTACATGTTACTTGTATTAAAGATAGCTGATAAGCCATTTTCAGGCAGCACTGAAAACCTACAACCAACTCTGCTTCATGTACATCATCTTGAAAGATAAGGATCTTTAGTTTACAAACTCTTCAGTGCCCAAAGTCTATATCCAGCTAAGAGCTAAAATTCTTGTTTAAGCTTATGTGCATCATCTAAGCACCTCTGGCAGTCAACAGAGAGGGAGAACCCCTCTCACCTCCCTCCCAGCACATAAATCACCGTGTCCTAAGATGGGTGGAATGAATCACCAGCTCGTGGTACATGTAGTGAGTCTCCACTATCTAGATCTGCATTTGTGTAATACCCAGCACAGATTTTAACTCATAACCAACAGTATTGCAGGTCGTCTTCTCTCTGGGACCTAGGGTTGAAGGGTTTGGTTTCCTCAGCCTGTACTGCCCGATGGCATGAAGGCATGCTTCAGCTAGGCAAAGCAAAGGTCAATGCCCCTGTTTCTTCTTCTACCTTCCACATAGTTTGTGTAACTTCCACACAGTTTGTGTAACTAGCAGCTCAGCTGCCTAATCCTAAAAAGATTCACTCACAATCCTTGAAACAGCCACTGATGGTTCACTCTGCCTCCCGGCAGAAGACTAGAGACTTTTTTTTTTAACTGCATCCCTTCCACAGCCATGTTCTTTCTCTCCACCTCAACACGTGTCCCATAAATGCCATGCTTTCAGAGTAAGACTCATGATAGCTGACGTTGGGCTCATGCCCCACGCCATAGCATCAGCAACTCACACGCCTGCAGGTCAGCATCGCAGCTTCTCCCTGTCCGTGTACTCTCTGCCACACGGATCCACAAAAGGCACCGTGGAGACAAGCAGTGCTCAAAGCTGGGCCTCCAGCTAGGATTTCCTCCCAGAGGGGACTGCCTGCGAGGCAGCTGCCAAGTGACTGTGTGCACTGGAGGAGTGATTGATGGAGGCTTCAGAGTTCAGGTAATTCAAGAGCCTGTACTAGTAGTGTAGGCAATAATAATAAGTAGAAGCAATAAAAACATGTGAAGTGACTAAGCAAATTCTCCCAATGACCATATATGGTAAGGAAAATCATAAAGCAACAATGCACAGTCATTATTAACCTATTATTTATCAGACATTTCCAATGTTTTGTACAAGGAAACTGGTGGTAAATACCCTGTCATGACGGTGATCTGATGTGACCAGGAAAGTGGATTTATCACAATAAATTACCTTTATCTTTCAAAAACAAATGTAGTAAAAATGTGAATGATGTATACTCACTGGAAGGTTTGCTTTTACAATGTATCCCCTGCAAACAGAAACAGAAATATTATAAAAGCTGAGGTAACAATAAAAATAAATATTGCTTAATCATTGTATGCAAATATAAACATACCTTAAACAGGTAAACATATTCACAGTACTCAACAGAAATAATTTTCAAGATTAAAAAAAGATTTTCAAACACAGTGAAAATGCACATCACTACTCCATATGACAGCCTGATACATATGGGAACACAAGATCAGCATTATCCTTATATTTTCATGTATTTCTACCAAGATGTAATTGTTATAACAAGTGTAACAGTTCCATCAAATACAGATATCACTTTATCAGGTACTACCATTCACACTGACCATTAGCTTATTTACTGTTTTGTCAAACTTTACAATGGACTGCCTCATACCAGGGGAAAGAAACCAAACAATTTTTTAATGGAAGATATCTAGAACACTATTGAATATTATATGATTTTTAGAAGATCACACTAGGCCCATGGAAGGAAGTATTACAGTAATTGCAAACGAAGTTTAGAAAAAAGACTTGTCTTTTATCTCTGAGAACTATCTGGCTCGGAATCCTGAGAATGAAATTACTCAGGCACAGTACTTATGGTGTTCCAGTGGGAAAGTGTTTCTGTAAGAGGCAAAGTGAACTTGACACTAAGATTTTAACAAGCTTCCAGCTATCTTTCAGACAGGCTACATCCATTTTCCCAGTGAAATAAATGCTTAACCGCACACTAAAATTCTGTAGAGTATAAAAACGACAAATCTTATTTTGACTACTACGCATGACATTCTAAAGAAAGGCTGTTACTTAGCCACAAATACTGTTTTCTGCTGTTCTGGCATTCAAGTTTCTGACATAGCACTTATACTAGTATTCCTTTATATACGGCATATATGTTCCCCTCTGCTTTCCTTTAAAATCAGTGTCTCATTCAGAGAGACACTTCTGTCACACACACAAAGGGAGCAGGCACCACCTTGTCTCCTCTGCTCTCAAACAAACTGGCAGCTCTCAGTCCTTTTAAAACCATTTAAGATCTTGTCAATAAGCCAACAATCTGTGAGTTTTAGAGCCAGCAAAAAGTCTCTCAGTGGACATTTGGAAGTTCCCAAGTTGTAGACAAACACCGAGACTGCAGCCTGGGTAAGCATTAGCACATCATAAAATAGCTATTGCTTGGTCTTCCATGAGGCTTTCATCCACAGGTAATTCTGTCCTCCTCATAAACACAGCTGTAGAGCAAAATCATACTATTGCTGCAGGTGAGAAATGACAGCATGTTAGCTGCCCTGTGGCAGCTGCCTACAGCACCCGAGAAGCGCGTTTTCTGTTCTTCATCGCTGCTTTTAAGCTTTTAGCTAGATAAACTTATTTTCAAAGAAGGCCTTTAGAAAGCCAGTGACCAGTATCTAACCTGTATTAGTTCTCATTCCTTTGTCCTTTTGGCACTTTTATTTTTAGTAATCACTTCTGGAGGTAAGTTTTCATCTTTTACAATTGACAGTTTGTCACTGTGACTCATAAAATGCAATGCATAAAAGGTGGTATTTTAAACCACTTATAAGACAGAGATGGTCATATACTTTCATAGACTGAAGATTATCAAAATTGCTTGTGACATTGTTAAAGATATTACTTTGGCTACTTCTACACAATACTACATTGACACTTGAAGTAGGGCCTGTTGCAATAGGACAAGGAGTAATGGTTTTAAACTAAAAGAGGGTAGATTTAGATTGGACATAAGGAAGGCTGTTTTTACAATGAGGGCGGTGAAGTGCTGGAACAGGTTGCCCAGAGAGGTGGTGGAGGCCCCATCCCTGGCAACATTCAAGGTCAGGTTGGACGGGGCTCTGAGCACCCTGATCTGGTTAAAGCTGTCCCTGCTCATGGCAGGGGGGTTGGGCTGGATGGCCTCTAAAGGTCCCTTCCAACCCAAAGCATTCTATGATTCTATGATTCTATAAAGGAAATCAAACTTCTTTACGTAACTGTTCTAAAACGGGGGTACTTCTATTTCAATGGTTTCATAAATTCCTCAAATTCCCCTGGAGGATTGAAAAATGTAACTGATGTGACCTCATTTCTGCTGTAATGTGTTCATAGAAATATTTGTCTTTGGTGAATTATTTCTGACACCACCACCACCCCACCCTCCCCCCCAAAAAAAAGCTTCATTGGTACTTTGCTGATTCTCCCAATGCACATTCATCAATAGAAAGAAGACTACAGCTCTCTGAATAATTCAGTGCAACACTAAACCAATAAAAGTGGAACATGCCAGCTCATATAAAACTACTGGAATTTTAACTGCTCTTTCAAATCCCTAATTTTGAATTATTTCTAATCAAACCCTGCAGGAGTATGCAGAAGGACAATTTGAATTCATTCTCTTTATTTGAGGTTCTCCATGGCCTTAGGGAGTGGAATAGACAAATATACAAAATGACTGAAAAAAACCAAGTGAGTGAGTTAGGGAGCTAGCTTTCTTGGTGGGAAAACCTAACTGTTGGATCAACTAATTGCTGAGCCATTGCTAACTGGAAGAAATTAATCTCTCATGAAGTTGATAATTTCACAAATTACTTCCTTATTTTTAACTTCCCATTTTGCAGCCAGACTATTGAAAATATTTTGGTTAGGTGGCTTGAGAGAGTTCCCAATTGCTGGTCAAAATTTCTTAGAACACCATCTTTAAACTAACTTCTCTAATCATTCTTTCTGGTTACAATCATGGTGCAAAAATACATTAGAAAATCCCATTGAAGTAAACAACAAAAATCTCACAAAATTCAGAGGATTCAGCCTTTTACTTAAAGAAGGCCAGTGCTTTGGAGCCCCTGTTATGACCCCTGAAAAACGCAAACCATATGTAAATAAATTATCTTAAGTTACAAACTTGAAAAAAATCCCCACCCATTTCTGTGGGGCTGTATGACAATGCAGAAATCCTCCTATACCTTCTCATCCATCCTAATTAATTACTGTTTTTCACTATTGCTCAGATGAATCCTACCATCTGAGCACTTTCCAGTACCATCTTGCATTTATTTTCTCATCTTGTCCATGGGGAAAAAAGAAACATATCCATCAGTGACTTTTGTTCTGGTAGGGAGATGTTTTGTCATTCTTGGGCACTTGGTTTTGTTCTGGGTGAGGAGTTGTTGGGAAGGTTTATATAAATAACCAAACATTTGCACAAACACTTGCCAGTTGCAGTGAGCATGTGGTCACAGCTCAATTCCTTTTTTTAATGTTTCTTCTTATTGTACAATACCAAGGCGGGTGGGGGTGGTATTTTCTTTTATAATCGTTTTGCAAAACAGTCAAAAGAGACCATTTGTCTCAAACAAGAACTCAAATAAATTAACCAAGTTCCTCTCCCACTTTCTATATCTTTTGTTTTCAGAAATTTTCAGTGATGAATGCAATAGAAAAACATAACACACTAAAACCAGAATGGAAATTTTCTTCCCCTTTCACAAATGCCGTGGGTGTCTTTTATGCAAAAATATGATCCTGAACATGATAGTACATTTTACTCCTATACAGAGAGCATCTTTGATTCATATCTTCTCTGGCAAAGAGCCTAAGCAAAATATACTTACACAATGCACAAACAGTTAGGGATTTTCCTATTTCTCTAGGGTTTTCCCCATTTGTGGTATTACTCAACTGTAGCTAGGGGTTATCTGAACAGACACCACCAACGTGCAGCATTCTGAATAGAAGGTGTGGTGCCAACTTTTTAGCTAGCGCAGCAACTTTTCCTCAATCTAAGCCAATTCTAATATCACATCGTTTTGTTTAAAGACTGTAGAGAAGAAAGTGAGATCAGCAGATGGAGACTTGGTTTTGGGGGCACAGAGAGTATTTTCATGAATTAAAATTGCCAAGGAAAAGAAACAAAGGTTAGACCTGCTTCCCATTTCCTCTTATATCTTCAGGCACTGAATCAAGCACAGAACTGTGGAAACTCTTCCCTGAATGTTCTCATGCAGGAAGGAGTCGGAGGCAAACTTGGTTTCACAGGGATGTTTTAGTTACCACTGAGCAGTGCTTACACAGAGTCAAGGCCTTGTTTGCTTCTCACACCACCCCACCAGCGAGCAGGCTGGGGGGGGCACAAGAAGTTAGGAGGGGACACAGCTGGGACAGCTGACCCCAACTGACCAAAGGGATATCCCGTACCATATGACGTCATGCTCAGCATATAAAGCTGGGGGAAGAAGAAGGAAGGGGGGGACATTTGGGGTTATGGTGTTTGTCTTCCCAAGTAACTGTCACGCATAATGGACCCCTGCTTTCTTGCAGATGGCTGAACACCTGCCTGCTGATGGGACGCAGTGAATGAATTCCTTATTTTGCTTTGCTTGCATGTGCAGCTTCTGCTTTACCTATTAAACTGTCTTTATCTCAACCCACGAATTTTCTCATTTTTGCTTTTCTGATTCCTTCCTCCATCCCACTGGGTGGTAGGGAGGGCAAGCAAGTAGCTGTGTGGTGCTTAGTGGCTGGCTGGGGTTAAGCCACAACAATGCCTTAAAGTGTATTCTTTAATTGGGACCAGGTTTCCACATATTTAACATTCATTCATTAAGGTGCCTACATTAAAGCCAGTGAATGTAGAGTGAACAGTTTTTCCCCCTTTTGAGAGATCCTCAATGGGAAAGCTATACCTACATTCCTATTTTAGGTTCAACTCTCAGAGAGGGCAGAGAAAAAGGAACATGACCATATTCTGATGTTTCCCTCTATTCCAGCAATTTCTGTTCTTTGACCACCATTAAAAGTAAGCATGGGACTGCACGTATTCTTACAACACAGGGAAAGTGTGGTCTTGCAATAACCAGTGCTCAAATTGTAGCCAAGAGGCTGATAAAGATGATGAATTTAATCATGTTCTTTTTGATTTCCAGTCAAGAGGGGATGCTCTGCACAAATCCATCTTATTCTGCACACAATTAGAAAGGATGTCCCACATCACTGGGTCTAGTCCCCTGATAGGGG